AAAGAAAGAATGGCAGATTTGATGTGTGATTCATATTTAAAAAAAAAATCAAAAAAATTGCCATGGCAATTATGTGACTAAAAGACAGCATTGATTTATGTGCACATTGTGCAAACTGCCGATTGAAAAGTTTTGTGACAGATTAAAAAAACATAGTGGCATTGAAGTGCATCGAATTCTATTCTTCGTCTATAATCAGTGTCCAATGCAATAATATCCTTTCTAAGTAGCTGCCTTGTGCATGGAATTCACAATTTACTAAACACATTACATTTGATGAAAAGAACAAAAATGAACGGTCTGTACATATGATACAATATTGGATTCTGATCGATTATTACCATGCTTCCTAATAGTAACAACATCATTTACTGACGCGTATTCGGAGTCTATCTCTCTTCATCCTCAAATATTCCAAGTCTATCAATGAACTAATCACATCAATTACGCATGATCAGCAAAATGAAACTCTAAAAAATGACCAGATGAGCTGTCCCATCTTTTGCATATCCATTAGGTAATTTATTAAATGCTACCGAGCTGTTTTTGTCTGCCTTTACAGCAGCTCAAGTAGTATGTAAATGGTTTCTTGTACAAGAACAATACATTACTGATCTTAGAGTTATTTTTCTGATGCAAACTCACGTTAAGTCAAATCGAAAAAGTACGATAAACTAAAATGATAAAACGCCTTTTTTTTAGAGAATGATTAAAGACATTTCAGAACAATGCTTTCTATTCCATGATAACGAAAATAAAAACTTAAGATCCAGAATCCTAGAACAGAAAAAAATACTTTTGACTTTAGAGCGGAACTTGAACTATAAAATTATCAAATTGGGATCGAAAACTCCATAGATGAATTAGTTTTTCAGAGATTTTACCGAAAAATTATTCGAAAAACACGGAAGAACTTTTATTAATCATAACCTATCTTGATTTTGGCGACACGATAGAGGAAAAAAACTTATCTTAACATGTTCTTCTTTTGTTCTCAATTTGTCTACATAGTTATTATTCTCCTATATGGATTACAGTATTTCAAATTAAACATGATACAATCTTGGTCAAAGATTCTGATTAATCTATGTATTATCATCCTTGTGTATCGTACCATCGAACGAAGACCTCGATATGTCATCAGTACTTCTTCAAATCAGAACAATTTGCATGTTCATAAATTCATGTTTCGACACGAATTAATCCGTCGACATCTAGCAAGTCACTCTCATTTTTATGATTATTCAGCCGGTGTTTGTAATATCACCGATGATTTAACTCGCGAACGACCACGTGTTTTGGTTAACATATCTGAATTACTTTTAAAACTTCGTGAACAAATTGTGCCATATCCTGAAGAATATTTTGAAGGACGAGGCATCGTGCTTACTGTCGGCTTTGCTCAGGCTTCATCTGAAAGAGTCACCTTGAAAATGATCGAATTAAGCGGAACACAGTTACCTGTACAGGTAAAATGTATATCTTGAAAGAGTGAAGCACTCTTCATATTCATTAAAAATTGTTTTATAAGACTGGATCAGTAACTTGCTAATGAGTAATTAGAAGTGGCTGATAGCTATTGTCCATATTGGAAAATTGGTGCGTTTGAGTCATTTCCTTTCTTTTCAGCAAGGTTTATTGCCTAGACACAAAAATGACTATTGAAAAAAGACGACTTTGATGTTAATATGTATTGGCATTAAAGATTTCTTGCGTAGTTGTTAAGCAACTTTTTTAAAATACTACTTTCTATTTTTAATTCAAACAATCGATACCTTTAAAATAGTGATCTTAAAGAAGAATTTTATGAAACTAATTGATATTCATTAATTTTCAACAGAGAATAGTCTCAATATTGGCGTTGAATAGTTTGTAAGAGAACTTTTGACGAAACATGATAGTTTGAAACTTTCAAGGTTTTTTTCAATGATTCATCTTGAACATAAATCATCGTATTTGACGCTTAAGAAACTGAAATCTATATTCAATATGATTTCTCTGAATATCTAACTATGAATAGTACTTAGGGTTGATCAAAAGTTCTGATCTCAATGTTTAAAGGACCGTGTCGGATAAAGTGACCTATTCAGAAATGAAAAACCAAATACCCCATGTTGTAGAACTTTTTGAGGCCCGTCAAATGGCATATAGTAGATCTTGTTTTCATAAGACTTTGAAGGAACTAGAGTCAATTTACTGATAGACGACTACACATCCACACTGACAAGATCACCGTCAAAAACTCTACAAAATCGTGTGTGAGAAAAAATATTTTACAATTACTTTCGACTAATACCAACGACCACAATATTCAGTAACTTATTGTACTTAGGCATAGATGGGATCGGTCTACCGACAATATATCGATCTACAGGCAACAGACTGAGCTTGAAAATGAAATCTCGCTCCATAGTGAACTATTTTGAGTTAAATTGGTAGCTTGCCGCATACTGCCATAATGCTTCACTATTGACAACAATAATTTTATTGAGAGCGTTCTCTAAACTAATTGTTGCGTGATCAGCGAGATTACACTTGGTTCCACTTATTGTTTGTTATATGGATACAATCATAGATAAGAAAAATGGAAAATTTAGACTGCTATAGACCGACCAGTAACCGGTTCCATCTATGTGCTTGGATGTGGATGTGTAGTCGTCTATCAGTAAATTGACTCTAGTTCCTTCAAAGTTTTATGAAAACAGGATCTACTGTATACCATTCGACGCACCTCAAAAAGCTCTACAATAGTGGATATTTGGTTTTTCATTTCTGAATAGGTCACATTATCCGACAAGGTCCTTTAAACACCGGGATCACAAGTTTTGATTAACCCTTAGTATAATCTAAGAAAAATAATAAATTTTCCTTTTTAAAATTCGTATTTTTTGGAAAATTAAATACAACGATTCTTTGAACGATCGCAGAAGGAGAGGTCAAATTTGGTTTTCTTTTGTGTCTAGGTATGGTATTCATCGTCGCAGCGATCACATAACTATATGATACAATTACTTCATGCAGTTCCGAAACTGAATGCAAGTGTTTGTTGTTTTGAAACTGCTCAATGTCAAACTCTGACCAATGTTTGGAATTTAAATGCTACTCATATCTATAAACCTCTCACATCGAATCTACCACACAGATCTTTTCCATACAAACCTGCTGCTATAATTAGTGCTACATTTGGTGAAGTACTCTTTCTTGATTGTGATGCTTATCTTGTGCGAAATCCTGATTATTGGTTTCGATCAGATCCCATGTATCTTCATTTTGGTGCACTCTTCTTCCCTGATGCTTTTCTTAGTCGACAACATCCTGCTGTATGGAACATTTTGAATACTACATGTGGTCAAAATGAATTTGAACTTGATAGTTCTGTTATACTCGTCGACAAGACACGTGTATGGAAAGGACTCTACATGACTAAATTAATAAATGATCATCATCAACTCTTCTACGAAGTAAAGTTAATTATTTGACTAGAAAAGAAATAGAAAAATATTCATTATGTTCTTATAGTATGTCACCGATGGTGACAAAGATACATTTCGACTAGGTTTTCGCTATATGCATGTGAAATATTATTTGGTTATGATTCCATGTTCGGTAAATAGAGAATATTTAATCTAATACCATTCATTAGTTTCTCACTCGTTGATAGACTGGTTCTTTTAATGGTACTCATTTTGCTGGCTATACACTTTGTAAGACAGATAGTTTGGCACAACATATCTACGTTAAGTATGAAAATACGATTTTTTATTTTGATTTAACTTTTTCATTCTATGTTCTAGTCATTTGAATTTATTTAAATATTTAAGAATTTCTCAAAATTCAGAGACTTTACGCTATACACGCATCGGTATTGGCGATCCAAACAATCATTCTTTCGTTTTTCAACATTGTTCTGCATCTACAGGTCCATATACTTTTCATATTGAGAAAGAGACCAATCGAAGTAGAAACTTGCATAGTTGTATCGATAGACAAATTTCATTCGACGAAATTGAAAATTACATTTACGCATTTGATGAACCACTCATCTCCGATTGGTCTCAATATGATCGTGTAATGATTACGGAAACAAATAATGTGATGCCAGATTTTCTCAAGACTTATCTCGAAACTTCATCACCATATATTTCTTTGTTTACACGGAAAATCAATGAATAATATGGCAATATCACTTGATCAAATCTTTCTTGTTTTTTGTATTGACTTCTATTACTCTTGTCAGCATGATTGCTTTTATCCTATTGTATAGAGAAGTAATAAGATAATAATTTTTATATTAATCCTCTTCTTTCTGACATTTCCATAGTTTGACTATTATATGACTTAGTTTTACAAGTGATTCAAATTCAAATTGTTTCTTTAATAGATGAATATTTTTGTGAATATTTATCTTCTATGGTTTCTCTCTTTGAATATGAAATTATTTAAAAAAAAAAGTTAAATTAATGTAAACGAAATAATCGATGTAATGATACCAACGGGCTTAACCTGATAACCCTCCTCTTTCCACTGCTTTTTCCTAAAATAGAGTCGGTGTGACTCTGAGCGTTAGCAGAAGAATATTTTACACCTACACCTTCGTGCGTGTACATGCACAATCACGAGCATTTAAGTGCTAGCTGTCAGATTTTTCTCTCAAGCATGGATTTAGAATCGCAAATAAACTTTACTTGCATTGGCACATAATATGAGGAATGAATTTCAGAATCATATTGTCGCACGCAGAAACTTAGGATGTGGTCAACATTCATACAAAATGTTTCATAAATCTTGGGATGCGAAATAATTCATTTATATGGACACGTAGAACAATGTCTAATTATTATGTTTCTATATCAGCTTCAAGTACTCGTGATGGCCTTTCAAATAATATATTACTGAATAACATTTTCCCTTATAATAATAAATTTTTCGAAATCGACTAATACGATTTTTTTTCAAAAGATTTTCTAATAAAGTGTTGTACATATTTATATAAAAAGTAACGTAGAGGTAATCAATGCGTAATATTCAAAGAACATTAAAAATGTCGAAACGAATATCCAGTGAAAAAAAACCAGTCAGATCAAGCTGAATTTAAAAAAAACAAAAAGAAATCTGCATGTACTACTTTTTTTGGTGACTTATTCGTGCTCCACTGCTGGAATGATCAGTCAAAACATATATATTTAATAAGCGTCTGTTTATGACGGAGGGTTTACTTGAACTTTGAGTTGAGCATTGGAAGATTTGCCCGGACTATCTCGACTATATGCATAAAATGTCCACGAACTTGTCTTCAATGCTGATAAATTTAAATCTCCATTTGCGTATGTAGGTGCAGGTAATAGATCTTGACATTTACCAGGAGGTCGATATTTCATGTACTGCTCACAAGAATTGAATATTCTGGTCATGCTAATACAACATGAAAAATAAGAGAGGACATCAGAGAAGAAATGTTGATATGTAGAAATATTTCTCCAAGTTTCGGGATAGTAGATATCGAGCGTACCAGCTCCTTTTCTCCAGTCAGCTATCCATCTACCATTGTTATCATAACAACACTGTGCACCTACAATACTTGTTGTTGACTTACAACGATAACATCCTTTTGCTCCTTGATGAAATCGACAATTCCAATATCCTGTTTTGCGTGCATCACATGCTGAATCGATCTTGAAACCAAATTGTTCTTCATCCCACGTTGTACTCACTTAACATGGACAGAGAGGAACTTGATTAATTGATTTTTCTGTATTAGAATCTGACTGAAAAGCAAGCCAGATTGGACAATAGGCTGTAAACAGTAAATAGGGTACAATAAATCCGCATACAATGAATTTTATATGTCTTTTCCACGAGAACGATTTTGATGTGGACAGCAGACGAGAAACGGGACCTGATTGTCTATCAGACTTCACTAAGAATCGAAAAATTCCATGAGTCCGCCGTGGATGAAGGTCGGGAACGTGTAGTTCTTCTGTAGTCATTTGGATATTTTTTTTTATGAATAAAAATTCTTTTACAACAAGAAAATACGACACCATTAACGTTGTAGGTTACCAGGTAACACCCTCTATCAACTCTAAATTTATGACTAAGATGGCTCTCAATGGCCATTCCATCACACTGTATCCATGTTTTATCTAAAAATTGGAAAGAAATATTTGTTTACAGTCAATTGCAATAATTGTTTGAACTTTGAGCAATTAAAATGGAACAAGGGATGGTATTGACTTCTTTCATATGAATGTTAGATTAAATAAAATGTTGTACTTTTTTTATTTATGTAGTAAATTAAGAGTATTCTCCTTTTCCTGACTCAATATTTTTGGTTTTTTTCTGGCCATAACATAAAGAGAAACCAAAAAAAACTATTCACACCCAACAGTTTCTAATATCTTTAAAAAAAGTTTCAGCTCGATCGGACGTGATACCTTAAAAAAATGGAGCAATTGTGATCCCAATATCCCACAGAAGACAGCATTCGAGAATTTTGAGTCTATGACAACTTTTGCTCTATTCATCAAGTTCGGTCTGTCCTAAAAATTTCAAAATTTTTTGACGAATCGGTCTCCAGAAACTACGAAAATGAGTGCTATCCTTAAAATGATCAGCCATAATTGTTGAGATGAGGCTTCCAAAGTTTTGACTTAAACGTTATTTCGTCGTAACAGAAATGATTCTACTTGCTCATTGGATTTTTTAAATCGACAAAGAAGAAATTGGAAGAATAGCGTTACTACTATCCTCAGTGTACGATGTTTACTACACTACTCCATCACTTCAGTTCTGTCTGCTTCGCACAGAACACAAGAAGAGAGAAGTGAGAACAGAAGAAAGGACGAAGTGAGTAGACAGCTAATATTGGTCAAGAGGTCAGAACATCTAAACACATAGTGACTGAATGTTCTCACATCAAGGAACTGATAGAAGATGCATATAGGTAGCGTCACCAATCATAATTTCTGTTTGACTCATTGGATAATTTATATAAACTAGCGCAAGTGGAAATCGTTGTCCTATCGATTGGTATTAGTTGAGAGTCGTAATCGATCGTTGTACATATGGTAAAATCTGGTTTTCAGCAGCTCGGCATAGTCTCCTTATTATAAAATTGTCGGAAGTGAAAGCGTTGAATAGTGAAACTAAATTATAAAATAGAGTCGTTTCAACTGAGTTTGAAAACTTACTTCGGACAACTAAAATCTTATTCATGACTTTTGCTGTTTTGAAAGTTATTGTGACAGAATAAAATCTAACAACACAAGCTTGTTTTTAGAAATGCAGTAGATGACGCACAATAAAAAAAAAACAGCGAAAAGTCGATACTCTTCTTTGCCATTTCGACATACATTTATTCAGTGGTAATCGAAAAAAAATTGGGGAGATGATGAGGAGACATGCGTCGTTTGCATATAAATGCAAGTTGACGGTCTTATATTTGTTGAAATCGTTAACATTTGTTTTTTAACATATGAATAGGTGGTTTGATTCTTGACAAATCGCATGTTGGTAAAACACAATATGGGGTGGGGTGGGTGTCGGGGTATATATACTCTAAACCTTCACTCACACCCACGTCCTCCATAATATCCGAAATTTTCGGGTAATTTCCACAATTTATTATGATTCTGGGGGTAGGATGTTCTTGTTATTAGATACATAGATTAGTATGTTAAAAAAAGATAATATCTATAGTAATTTTAGTAATTTCTAAGATTTGTTAGTAGTTTCGGAAATTTCCAGTAAAGATGTGGTGAAGTCTATCTTTTATGAGGTTGGTAATTTCGGATGATCTCAGGAAATTTCCTTTGGTGTAAAGTTGAATACTGTTGTACGATTCGCTGCCTTTATTTCAAAAATATATCTTCAATATCCTCATCATTTTTTCTTTGAGAGTCTCGTTCTCATTTCTTTTCCCAATCTGAGTTGACGTTCTCTTGGAAATCGATATATTTTATTCTAAATAGACATTTTCATTTAATCTAATTGTTTAAATGAATCATTGCAACATTTCTATCTTTTCTATCAGTATTTTTTCATCGATATCCTATGAAAGATATTTTTCTATAATTATGTTAAAATACTAGATAGAAAAATACAGCATTAATATGTTTAATCTTTAGTA